GCTGATTGTCCATGATTCACTTCTGTGCATCAGTAATAACTTATTGGAAAGTTACTAAAAAAATAATCATAAAGTATCTAAAAGGATCAAACTGTCAAAAGAGACAGAGAAAAGCATTCTGCAACTAAATAACATTTACATTACAAATACAGAGAATAAAAAAGGGGGAACCCAATAAAAAAAACACACACCTATTTATTTCTTACTCTGCGATATAATTGTTTGTGTACTAATGTTGAATGTTGAAATAGGAATCGACATTACATCACTCAGGACACTCCCATAAGTGCTCAGCCCCCATCTTCAGCAGCAAGCAAAGATGGTACCAATGATCAATTCCGATGGTACCAGTAACCACCTGATTGTATATCTGTCTCATCCTTCCCCTGAGTGTTGAGCATCGGCCAGATCCCCTGGTAACTCGCAGCGCCATTTTCCTAAGACCGTAATGATCTATCTGTGTACTACTGAAGACTATTTAACGCCTAATATCCTTCGGCCCATATGTGATCCTGTATTTGGGATGTTTTGGCATATCTTCACTGAAAGTTTCTTTCAATGCCTCAAATGATGCAAAAAATAAAAACTGGTTACCTGAGCTAGGAAATAACATACATGCTTTGGTAAACTGATTATGTATTTTTCAATCCTTTTTCTCTTTAATACCTCAGATGGTGCAAAAACATAAAGACTGGTTACCTGAGCTAGGGAACAACATACATTTGGTAACTGATTATGTATTTTCAATAATTTTTCTCTTTAACACCTCAGATGGTGCAAAAACATAAAGACTGATTAGGGCAGAGAACAAAACAACTTAAACTAATGACAGCCACCACATCTGGGTCAAGGCTGGTGCAAGTGAAATATTTTCACATCTGGGTCAAGGCTGGTGCAAGTAAAATATTTTAAACAATCGGCTCATACGACATAACCCTACAACATAAATGTGTGTAACAAACACAATAAACCAAAATTTCATAATAATTTACAAATAAAAAGAGAAAAAAAACCCATCCCAGTTATAATACTTCATCTTATTCAATTACTATGGTATGCAAAAGATACGCTGTGTGTTAAAAGAAAACAACAATTCACCTCCGACATTACAGACTGAGTATTCACAATGAAACAATATCATTTAACAGTAAATAATTCAGTAACAAATTAGACTTAGGTGACCATAATCTAGAGTACAAAGGGATACAGTGATTTGGTTTGAGTCGATCAAAGGTCTTTGATGTTAGCAAAGGTATCATAGAGTACAGTATTTCCCCTTTTAAGGAAAGCTAAAGGGTTGCTTAAGACTGGTGATGTTGTTTTAAGCTATGCACATGTGGAATTCAAGAGGAAACTACACTGTGAATCTCAATAAACTCCTAAACTAAACTTGATAACACTTCGGCCATATTAAAAATCTAAACAGGTTGGAGAAAACACTAATGGAGGGCATCATTCATGGAAGAAATGGCAGGAGATGAAGAACATGACAGTGAATGTCCCAAGCATACCCTAAGAATGAAAGTTCACAAGGCAGGACAAATGACAGTTGATTGAGTGGATTTCTGACATTCCATGATAAGAATGATGTTCTGAAAAAGACTTGCTTAAGATGATGATAGTTAAGGGGTTATGCTCAACTGCAGGGATTTTAAAAAAAAGGGGTGAGGGAAGAAAATAATTCAATGACAATAATGTTACTGACCATGCATATCAATGAATGATTTAAACTTATGAAGTGTGAATTACAGAACAAGTCTTCATACTAACATTTGTAAGTTACTTTTCACATATTCAACTTCTAGGTAATTTATAACACACCAATCATGCACTTATTTATCCTTCTCTCCTGAGGCTAAGAAAATGTATTCCCTACCCAAAAATAGTAGTATGACATCTTTGAGAATGTTGAATTAAGAATCAACATCACAGCACTCGGAACACTACCATAAAAGCTCCATCCCCAACTTCAGCAGCAAAACGAAAAAGTTCAAACTCTGATGAGACCAGTAGCTGTCTGACTGTAAATCTGTCTCGCCTTTCCCTTGAGTGTTAAGCGTCGGCCAGATCCCCTAGTAACTCCCTGTAGTGCTGTTCTACTCAGACCGTAATGATCAATTTGTGCTTCCGTACTGTTCACTCGCTCCCAGATCCTCTCATGAAAAAATCTCACAGGAGTCAAATATATAGCTCTGCCTAAGAAACCAGGCACTATAAAATGTGAAGACCATCGCACAATAAGTCTTATGAGTCACATGACTAAGATTTTACTGAGAATAATTATGAGAAGAATAAGAAACAAAATTAAACCAGAAATCAGCAATGAACAATGTGTATTTGTAGAAGGAAAAGGTACAAACAATGCCATATACATCCTAAGGACATTGTCAGAAAGAGCTATAGAAGTAAAGACTGATTTGTACATATGCTTCATAGACTATACAAAAGCATTTGACTGTGTGAAGCATTAAGAAGTAATCAAACTTTTGGAAAAATTAAACATTGATGGGAAAGATCTACGAATAATAAAGAACATGTATTGGCAGCAAACAGCAGCTATAAAAATTAACAACTGTTTAGGTACATTTCAAAGCATAAAGAGGGGCGTACGACAAGGATGTGTACTGTCACCTGATTTGTTTTCAATATACAGTGAATATATAATGAAAGCTTTAATTGATATGCCCGGAATTGTGGTTGGTGGGCACAATATAAACAATTTACGTTATGCTGATGACAGTCTTGATAGCAACAAGTCAGAAAGAACTACAGGAAATGATAGACATTGTGGTGTTAGAAAGTGGATGAATGGGCCTCAGTTTGAATAATGGGAAGACAGAAGTAATGGTGGTATCAAAGAAACGAATTATTCCTAAGTGTGTAATAAAAGTTGATAGTGTTATTTTAGGACAAGTACAGAAATTTTAATATCTGGGCACATGGATAACATCAGATAGAAGATGCATAACTGAGATAAGAAATAGAATAGGACAGGCAAAAACTGCATTTTATAAAATGAAAAACATCTTGTGCAATATATCCTTGTCATTGAGAGTTAGAAAAAGAATTCTTACTTGCTACATACATCCAGTTTTAACATATAGCTGTGAATCCTGGACAATCGGTAGGCAGGCCAAACAATTTCTGGAGGCCTCAGAGATGTGGTTTTACTGAAGAATGCTTAGAATACCTTGGACAGCCAAAAAGAGCAACCAGGAGGTTTTGAAAGAAGCGGGAGCCCAAAGACAACTTATCACAGACATCAGAAGTAGACAGTCATCATTTTTAGGCCATGTTTTGAGAAGAGGGAAAATAGAACATGTTGTGACCACTGGAAAGATATGTAGAAGGAGAGATAAAGGAAAACAACGAGAGAAGATGCTTGACAGTCTTGTTGCATGGCATGGAGGTGTGTCGGCACACGAACTGATACATGTTGCAGGATCGCGCACGCCAGTCGGCAAGGCACCTGATGATGATGATGCCATACATTTGGGTATAGGATTAATTTGCCTAGCTGTATCAGATAAGGATAAATGTTAAATGTGTCACAAATTCTTTCAGAATTAAAAAATGTGAAAAGTAGCATACAGGAATAATTATGAAGGCATATGAACTATAAACCTTGAAACTATATATAAGGTAGAGTAAACTCTGCCAAAAGGAGTTATAAAGCACTTCCTTTCCTCTAGTCTGCTTCACATCTCATGAGAACGGACTGGATACCTGCTTAGTCCTCTGATCTGAGCTATGTCAAGTTATGGCAGGCAAGTTTTGAATAAAAATGGCAAGCAATTGCAAAGTTATTTGAAGGAGTTTAAATATTTCATCTGTCTCTCTTTTGTTTGGGGGGGGGGGGGGGGGGGTCAAAACTTCTTTCAACATTCTTTTCACGTCCAATCTCTTAATAAACTCTGATTGTTTGTTTCTATGAAATCAACGTATTCTTCCATACATCCACATTTGCAGAATCTCAATCTGACTTTCTAATTTCAATTTCATCATCCAGTATTCTGCACCATAGATTAGGATTGAATATGCAAATGGCATTTTTTCTCTAGAAACAAAGGTGAGTATACTGTGTTGTTGTTTTACATTATATATTCAGTCTGTTTGAAGTAGAGATTACTTTTAATGTAAAAAAGTGTCAGGTATTCAACATTTTGCTTGGTATATACATAATAAAAGACAATTCTCATTTTTAGTGTGCTGTTCAACTCTGTATAATGCCCCCAGTATTACACATGTCCTTCCTTCCATGTGCAATTTGCCAATGCTATGTGTTTGTGCAAATCACCACTTCTATGTGTGTATCACCCTGGCATTTACATAGGCACATCACCACTTACATGTGTACATCACCACTTCCATGTGCACAGTGCAAAAATATACATAATACTTGCATTTGAAAGTGATTTGTAATCACAGCAACAATAATTTCAGAAACATTAAGGCAACACTGAGATGATTAGCAACCACACAGTTGCAAGGTGTCTGCAAATGATCTAAATGAAAGTATTTCTTTGGGAGAAAATCTCAGAAAAACTGCAATGATATTTCAAAAAACATTCATGTGAGCAATGCCTGTAAATAAAAATAGTCATTTGATTTATCTCCATTAAATAATAACAATAATGAAAATATATATAAAACCCAACAATATTTAAAATAGTGAGTTGCAAGAATAAAATATCTCCCTTCTGACAAGTAAAGAATAGATAACATTGCAGGCACAAGGCAATGTCAGTTTGAATGTCAGTTTCGAACAGAAAAGGTTTAGTAATAAATCTACCATGTCAGGTTTTATTTCTTCACAGCAGAAACAGAGGTTTCAAACAGACATAAGGGCAGAATACAAAACTGGTTTTCTACAAACTTGATTGTCATCAAGAATAAACTTACGGACAAGAAACATAAAAAAAGGTTTTAATTTTTTAAAAACTTGTTAAAAAATAAAAAAAATAAACATTTCTTTCTGGACTGAGGCTTGAGGTGAGTATCTAGGACAAGGATTTCTGCTGTAGCATCTGAACTGCTGGTTTGAGGTACTGCTGCAGGTCAGCGATGCTGAGAGGATAGCGGGAGATCATGTCTTGGAATGGCAAGTTGTCTGAGCCGTCAGAATGACTACCAAAATCAATCTGTAAGCAGAATGGAATGAATGTACTACAGTTTGATTGTAACACAAGTGGTCACCGTTAGTATTTATGTCTTCTAACTCTGCATTCCCCCCTAGAAGGGCCACTGTCATGATGTGGTTTACAGTTAGACAGTGATATCTCTGTATTTTCATCTCAAGACATTAGATTTCAGCAAACCCTTAATTCGTACACCTATTTAGGCAGTAATATAGATACAGATGGGGGAGCTGATAGAGATATTAAAATAAGAATACAAAAGGCAAGAGGGGCTTTCATAGCACTAGGGAGGTTGTGGAGGTCAAAAGGAATTAAAGGAAATACAAAACTTAAAATTTTTTATTCTAATGTCAAATCAGTACTTTTGTATGGGGCGGAAACATGGATGGAAAACAAATAAGGCGATTACTAATAAATTTCAGACATTTATAAACTGGTGCCTGCGCAGAATAGAGGGAATTAAATGTAGAGTTTTAGGAGAGAACTAAGCAAGCTCCAGTGGACCAGGAGGTGAGGAAAAGACACTGGCGTTAGATAGGACACATTCTGAGAAAAATGGAGAGCAGCATAACTAGAATCTCTTTGTATTGGAACCCACAGGGGTATAAGAATAAAGGAATGCCCCCCCCCCCACCACCAAAAAAAAAACCACAGAGAAGTGAGCTGGAGAAAGAAGCTAGAAAGATGGGGAGGACATGGGGAGAGCTCCATGTAATAGCGAAGGCTAGAACGACTTGGCGTGAGTTGGTTGAGGGCCTAAGCTCCATTGGGGGATAGAAAGGCAGAAGAAGAAGAAGAATCCCTTAATTTGTCATCTTTGAACACATGCTTGTTAAGGATCAATAGGTCTATTCTCATGAGAAGGTATTTTCTCTTTATCTACACGAGGCCCTGGAGCCCAAAAAGAGACAGTTATTTGTAATACCTGACCAGAAGGATCTGGGGTGAGTTGGATACAACAGCAAAGGGATTACACGCCTAAAGCTGGTTGACTGCCTATGCTCCATGGGAAAACAATCATTTTCTTACCAATGTCACAAACTTAAAGACTATATCCTAATTACATTTTTGGCTCTTGTAGTTAATTATCTTCTTCTTCTTCAGCATTGTGAGCCCTTGAGGTTCATTGCTGTAGATATCACCCGCTTCCAATTATCTCTTTGGTTGGCCTTCTCTTTCCAGTTGGTGACACCAAGTGTTTGCAGGTCTGTTTGGAGATTATCTCTCCATCTTCATCTTGGTCTGCCTTGTGGTCTACGACCATTCATCTCCCTTGTGTATACAGTTTTTACTTCTCTGTCATCTGACATTCCTTCAATATGCCCCAACCATTTCAGCCTATTAGCTCTCATGATGCCAGTGATTTTTAATTAATTATGCTGAATATATTTCAACTTTTGTGGCATATTTCTGCAATACATTTTTTAATGTTTCTGGCTCTTGTGGTAAATTTTGTTGTCAATATTTCAAATTCTCATTCACTTTCTTATCAATGTCACAAATTCCAGCAGTTTACCCCAGTTATTTATAAGCTCAAATAATGTTTACTCATAATATTTATTAACTCACATGCCTTTCTGAATTGGAAAATAAGGACTCAAAACAAAGTTTACAGAATAGTCAACAACATACCTGCATCAAATAGGTCACAATAGAGAAGGTCTTTTTATCTTGTTTGGCTGGTTCAATGATCCAACCACTAGGTAACACCTAAAATCGAACATCAAACATTTCATTTAATCTCAGGCAGAGTTTCTGTGACACAGATCTTGTAAATTTGAAATTCGTGGGAACCAAAAAAAAAAAGTTTAAAAAAAAGTAAAGGACCTTTTCCCACGCCTTTAGGCTTCTATGGCTAGATCTATATTTTATAGCCCAATCAGCACAAGACGGGTGATGTGGTTAGCATCATGCCAACCGCTTTTACTTCCCAGGACCGCACCCGGTACCCAGCCTTGAGCAAGGCTGGGTTGACCTTGGAGCCAAGGTCTTTTTCTCAAAAAGTCAGGTTCCGCTTGGGAGGGAACCCATGACCTTTCAATTTGCAGGCATGTGTCTAGCCGCTCCGCCACAGAGCTTCCAGGAAGCATGAAAGCATAATGGATAACTAATCGACTCTCCTGCAAAGCAGTGCAAATTTTATGTAATCAAGTATCACAGCTCCAACTCCACAGCAAACGGGTCACCCTGAAATAGATCTGTTCATGTGCCAATGAAACCCAAACAGAACATTCATCACCATCAATGTGAAAAAAACTGACACAGATTACAGTAGCACCAAAGCCAACAGCATATACACAAAAATCAAATGCATAACACAGCCGTCGGAAGTGCCAACACAGTCTGGCACTAGAAATGCAGTTCATCGTAACAAGGTTACAACAAATTAGCAGTTGCACTTGTAATCAATTGCATAAGGCAATACCAGTTCTCTGGAAACTGGCCACTCATAATTTTCGGAATCTGCAGTTCACAACACAAACTACGTTGGGCACATTTAAAAAGTATTTCAAATAAAATCTGCAGTTTATGGTGTCGAATCATGCTATAATCATGCAAGCAGCTCAGTAGCTGGGTGACAGAACTATATCCTTTCAGTCTACATATGAAGGAAAATACAATGGTTAACAATTGACAGAAGCCAAACATGCCACGACTAAAAACAGTAAGCCTTTCTATCTGATATATTGACTGAAAGTTCTAAACGCAAATAAAGAGCGAGGTTTTGACCAACTTGAATAAGATTAAAAATACAACAAACAAAAAACAACCTCACATGGAGTTTCTCTATAAAGTAAAGATACTGACCATCCTCACCTTTTAATACAGTGACCTACTATGTTAAAAGCCCAATGAAAAACCCATGACCTTCACAGTGCAAGGCAAATGGCTTGACTCTTTGCCATGGAGATGTCTATAACTTTTCTCAACTGCTTCACAGTTGTATGGTATGATACAGTGTTACTCTTCTTTGTTTTCCTTTTTTTGGCTTTAGTAACACACTGATGGACCATATCCTAGTACAGGGCTATTCAACTGGCAGCCAGCAGGTCAGATCTGGCCCGCTGAGGCCTAGCAAGTGGCCCGCTGATCATTGCGACTGAAATGTAATATATTTGAAAAAAAAAAAAAAAGAAAAAAAAAATTAAATCAATCAATGTTTCTGTATGAATCTTCAAAAACCAGTTGTGTTGAATGTGACCATTGGAAATGTTTATCCGGGATGTCTAAGTGCGACAAGGGAACGGGCATATGAACAGACAATACCACAAGTGTGGGAATGTCTCAGGCATGGAAATGTAATTAGTTCACAGCAAAAGTTACTCCAAATAGCAGAAACTAACCTGTTTGGAATCACTGAGGATTATCGCTAAAAGAACTAAGGTGTCTGTGCTGTGTGCCATGCTTTGTATATATCCATAATACAAACAAATCAGGTGATAGTACACATCCTTGTCTTACTCCACTCTTTATGGTTTGAAAAGTTCCCAACTGTTTATTAATTCTTATAGTTGCTGTTTGCTGCCAATACATGTTTTTTATAATTTGTAAACCTTTTCCATTTCCTTTATACACTACACGAATGATCTTTACACACTACATGTGTATGTGTATACGTTCAAATAAAACTGCACTTACTTTAGCTCTGGTGATGTTTGGGTTCACTGGACACTTGTCATGTTCAATGCTTGAGTAGGTGAGTATATATCTCTGACCATCTTGTCTTTCCCCATGCAAGACACACATATCACAGTTTTCTTTCATCAAAAACTGCTGGCTCTCATGGTAAAGGTACACTGGTAAACAGATACAAAGAAACAAGATCCAGCCTGTAACTCTTAGGGATCAGCAATAAATTAACCATAATTAAAAAAACAATTTTTTTTTTACTTTTTGATTTCATTTGATTCAAGAAACGATATCACAGTGCTCTGGGCATTCTCATAAGCACTCTATCCCCGTCTTCAGCAGCTCAAAAACAAACCGGTCACTGGTTATTTTCAAATTTTTTTTCTGTATACTGAATTACCAGCTTCCTGTGTGGGTTCTGGGAGCCCCACTGTGGGGGAAAACAAGAACAGACCCAAGACCTTCCCAACAAACATGTCGTAGGAGTCGAATAATCTGGAGCTTCCTTTTAAAGCAGAGTGCATTTGTCAAAGCTGCAAGGAACAACAACTGCACACAAATGAGCCAGTAAAATGGATATTCAAGCAAAACTCAGGCTCTGACACAAAGCAAAAGCCCAAATGAATGAACAACGAGGACTTTCCATCACAGCTTACAGCTGGTGAACAAAAAAGGAGAAGAAGAATTACAAGCAGCAGTTCTTCAATAAGCCTGCCAAACCATAATTTTTTTTTTAGTACCCATTCAGCCCATTAAAATGTAAACAGGTAGGACAAGAAAAAATCTTAAAATAAAAATCTTGAATTTACAATGCAGATATTTTCATAAATCAAATAAAACATGAGGAATAATATGGTATTTTGTGTACACAAGCAATAGGTAATGTGGTTATAAAGCAACAAAACTTATATATAGCAGAACACTGAGCTTTCTACGAGAGACCCGGGTTCGACCCCCCGGTAAGGTGATGGAGGTTTTCTGCAGGGGGCAAAATTAAACATCCTAACCGCCAGTCCATGGTAACAGCACTAGCGATGCAGCCCTACAATCTTAGGCTCATAAACTTCCTGTCTACACCGCTCCAAGAAGTGGTACAACAGACAGTAGTGACCGTTTTAGTAGACAGCCATTTTATCAGCAGAAGATTTAACTGTCTACAAAGTGATGCCCAAGAAGAATTTATGGGACATGTGTGTGAGCAAAGATGAGATAGTGTGACCATCTGACAAGAATGTCCTGCTGCCTATGGCCACTCTAAAGATATATTTTAAAAAGTTGGGACGATGGCATCAAAAACAGTCTGAAACAAATTCACTGGTCTATTTTTGTTTGGTTTTATATCTTTTCATGATATTAAACAAATGGAGGTTAACTTATGCAATGTATTAGAAAGAAAACAAAAAAGATCCGTACAGTTTCCTCCAATATTTCAATGAGGTAACTAGAGGAAGAGAAGAAATGAAGAAACATTTTGGTGCTTTATTATTATCCTACCCCAAACAGGGTAAACACACAGGTCACGGGACAGTCTAAAATTCCAGGGGGTGGTAGACAGGCTGCATGCAGTTATGGGACCTAGGCTGCATGCAGTCATGGGACCGAGGCTGCACTTTCTCCTGGGATGTAGGTGGGTTGGGGTTAGGGATAGTTCTAGATGTTTTGGGGTCGTTAAAAGTACCAGAAAGCCGGGAAACACCACCCTCTAAAATGTTGGACTGTCCTGTGACGTCATCTGGGGTATGATATTAATAAAGCACCACCATTTTTCAACGAAGAAGCCCTTTTATCAGGCTAATCAAACCCATGGTTACACGGGTCAGGTATGAGAAAATCCCGAACTTTCTGGGGATCAGTTGTGTTAGTAGGTAAGTGCGCTAACCACTACACCAGCATGGTCCCTGTATAATGCAAAGTCAAAAAGCAATCTCCAACAGCAAAAACTGTCTGTTTATACAAACAACTTACCTATCTTAAGCGTGTTATCAATTGTTGCTATAATATCCACTTTCTGTGGACGTGGACAAGAAAAAGAAAACACAGGAAATGTTTTAAAAAGAACACCAGCCAATTCTGTATGGAATTATTTTACAATGCAGGCAAAATTATGTGTAAAGCTATAAAAAATAGGCACACATATTTTAAATTTACTATAATGTTGCACCTATAATATGGTATAAAACAGAGTGGGGCAGTATGTCCTCATTTTGTAAAAATTTATTTCTAAGCTTCAAAATCAAATATATAGGCTTCTAAAAGAAATATCTAGGCTTCAAAATCAAATATCTAGGCTTCAAAATCAAATATCTAGGCCTCAAAATCAAATATCTAGGCTTCAAAATCAAGTTAAATTGAAGAAATGAAGAAAACCACAAAGCAGACAAAGAAGAAGGTCTGCAAACACTTGGAGTCACCAAGTAGAAACAGAAGACTTATCAAAGATATGAATGGAGGTGGATCATTTCTGCAGTAATCCACCTCAAGAGCTCAGAATGATAAAGGAGGATGAGAAGAAGACAAATTTAATTTTGCATCTAAGAATGCATCATCTTCTACTTCTTAACCCTTTCAGTCGCATCCAATCAGTCGCATCCAACGCATAATATGTGATCAGCATATGCACTCTGACTTTGAAGGAAGCTCCCAATTAGTCTCTTATGAAATGTTTTTGGGTAGGCAGTTGGTATATTTTGTCCCCACAATGAGGCCCCGGAACCCATACAGGTAGGTTTGATTAGTAACTTGCCTTATTCATCATCATCATGTAGCAGGTCCTTTGCAGAACCTTGCTCTCATCACGGTCTACCTGAAGGAAACTCAGTCTCTCACCAGCTCTCATGTACTTTCATACTCAAGGAGCCACTTATATCTTGTGCCCATCCTCATGTTGGTCGACCCCTGCCCCTCCTTCCTGGTACCATATCTTTTGCTATTATTTTGTCCAACCCGTCGTGGCATTTGATGACCAAAATATTTCAGCTTCCGAGACAGGATGCCGTTTATTAGCCAATCTTTCTTGAAGTTTAGATTTTTTAAGATATCAGTATTTCTCCTCTTCTTTGTCCAAGATATTCTGAGAATCCTTCTATAGCATTTCAGTCTTGCCTTACTACACATTTTTAAACGCTAAAGTTCAGTAAAAGTATAATGTACCCCTTAAAAATGGAATTTTTGAACATTACAGAAGCTATGCTTCTATACTATGCCGGCATATTTTTAAGTTTAACTCTACCAGACCGCTGGCCCACTATTAAGGGAATTTCCAAACCTGCCGCTAAACCACTGTCCCTCAATGTTGGGAATTTTCTTACTACGTGAAAACAATGTATCACAAACTAAAAATAACCATCGAATCATAATCAGATCTCGTGGATAGTCTTCTCAGATGTCCGCCCGCATGTGTTTGGATTAAATTTGTGTGGTTTAACATGAACAAATTCTGAAAATTCACAATAAAACGAGCGGTTGATGAACCAAGCACTTCGACAGGAAAGTGAAGTAGGTCTACGCTTTTCACAGTCCAACAGGTGATCGATACTTTGGTTGATTCAGACTCTTCGGAGTCATAATTTCACGAAGAATAAGTTCCCAGTTGAAGTGACACAGTCAGTGAGAGCTGGAATGATGAGAATATTGAAAATTAAAAATCTAGAAATAGATCGAAAGAAGGAGAAGGGGGCGTGTCCCTCAAACAGCAACATTTACTTTCATTTCACTTTGTGAAACAAGGTTGATACTGCTGGGTGGTTTAGCACACGAAAGTGAAATATTGGTGCTAGATAAAAGGTAAACCTATTTTCTACAATGTCTCCAAGTTTTATCTTATTCTAACCACTAATATTTTTGTATATCATGTTGGGTTTTTTTGCGTTAATGCCCAGGAGCTCAGCAGGTATAGGAGGCAGTTAGGTTCAGGACCTGAGGTCTGGTAGGGTTAATTAATTCTTACACCCCCCACCCCAACACGTGCATGCTACATTTTTATTTGGAAATTTGGAAACAAACTCTAGTACATATGTTTCCAATGCTATGTTCATTTCTAAGTCACACTGCACCAAACAAACTCATCAGTGAAGTTTAAGCCCAGACTCAACGAGTTGGCAAGTGAGTGATCAAGCCACTTAACTACCATAGCTGACTATGAGCAATGTCAGAACACAATAAAAGAAAGAAACACAGTCTTACTTTAAGGGTGTCATCGTATGTAAAGCGAGTGCGAGGATTTCTCACTGCATCCCAAACTGCCTTGGGTGGGGCTAGTACAAAGCCCTTGCCAATGTAACTGGAGATATACAAATGGAAATATTAAAATAATTAGCAGGAAATCTCAACATATATATATATCATCATCATGTAGCAGGTCCTTTGCAGAACGTCGCTCTCATCACGGTCTGCCTGAAAGAAACTCGGTCTTTCGCCAGCTCTTCCACCTCATGCACTTTCATACTCAAGGAGTCACTTATATCTTGTGCCCATCTTCGTGTTGGTCGGCCTCTGCCCCTCCTTCCTGGTACCATGCCTTCTGCTATTACTTTTTCAAATCTGTCGTGGCACTTGATATGACCAAAATATTTCGGCTTCCTGTTTATTAGCCAAACTTCCTTGATGTTAAGATCTTTCAAGATGTCAGTATTTCTCCTCTTCTTTGTCCAAGATATTCTGAGGACCTTTCTATAGCATTTCAGCTCAAAAGCTCCTATTCTATTTCTTAAGTACTGAGAGATAGTCCAAAACTCACATCCGTATGTTGCTATAGGGAAGATGCATGCTCTCAAAATTCTAATTTTGATCTCCTTGCTGGTGCTTAACCATATATTTTTAATACTGTTTATGATAAACTAGATACAAAAGCTAAAAAAAGTAATCAGTACTATATAAGTGACAGGTAAATTGCATGGAGGAAATTAGCAATATCAGTAAGTATAGTAAAAGACCCCTGGTCAAGGCAAGAAGTGGATGTGTGCATGACACTAGCTGTGTATTTAAGACCACCTATCATTCAATCAGTGACTTGCTGGTAGTCACCGAAAGCCATTTCAGTCTAGGAGCCAAGGCCAATGGGGGAACCCATGACCTAAAAGGGGATCCAAACACATGACCTATGTGCTAGTAGGCAGCATGCTAGTCACTGTACCTACACACCTCCCTATGATCGTATTCAAGAATTAACTTGTCTTATATTCTTAGACACAATTGTTGAGAAAAAGAAAAAGAGGAAAACAATTAATCACTGTTTTGCCTAAGAGGATGGGTGGCAACATGTAGCTGTGATCATTCTTCTTCTTCTGCATTTGCCCTTATAAGCATAAGTGGCATATGTGGTGTGGTTTACAGCTTAGCTGTGATATTTCAGCTTTTAGGCCTAAACATCTGATCTCAGCAAATTCCTAATTGGTAACCTTACAACAGACTTGGTAGAAGGACAGCAGCTCTATCTCCCCAGACTCACACAAAATGAAGAAGCTAGTCTCAATAATGATTCAATGATTCATAAGATATCAATCTCTCATTGGTTAATGTTTTATTTGTGTATGAAATGAGACACTAGGCAATACCTCTGAACTGTGACTCCCGGCCTTTGCAATTTCTTTAAGACAACAATATTTTTGTCAAAGGAGGAGAATCTGAAACAAAAGCAAACACAACTTACTCATCTAATTTAGAATGCAAATAAATGACTAAATCATTTATTTTAAAAAAAAATTTATGTTTGTGAAAAATATATACAAAAACAATAAAACGGTCTGAAAAACTGCTACTCTTTTTTCAAACCTTTTATGAATATTTTTGTTTGTTCATATATCAGTGTTTTTATATATGTACCCAACAAAAATTTTTTTATTTCCCTCCACAGATAGATGGAATTGATTAATAAGTTAATAATTCTTTTGCTTGGTATATGCTAAAAAAATGATTGTTCTTTGTGGTAGTTCAGACTTTGCCAGATGGCTAAAAGTAGTTTAGATGCGACAACAAGTGACTGTTTACACCCATCAACTAGCTTGTCATTAGTCTTTTTTTTTTAATCATAGAACATTTTGTTGTTTGTTTGTTTCTTGTGCTGGCTCATACCTTGTTAGAAGTCACAGTGAGGAAAGGCTGTTTATGCCCTAGTAGCAGGTTGTGTTCGGAGATGCCTTGGTGTAGCTGCTAGATGCTACAAGCCTGCTTGTCTGAAGATCACTAGTTCAAATCCTCATGGTGCCGGATATTTTTCAAGCATGACTTTCACTCTGTGGCCGACCCAGCCTTCAAGTGGGGGCAGCTGGTGTGATGCTGACTCCATCACCAATTATCATCAGGTGCCTTGCCTACTGGTGTGGGTGATCATGCCTCTCCCCAATCCATTATCTCCTGCAGCATGTATCAGTTCGTGTGCTGATACCCCCTTCATGCCTTGGAACAAGACTGTCAAGAATCTTCTCTTGTCTTCCTCTATCCTTCCTTCCACAGATCTTTACAGTGGTCACAACATGTTCCAATTTCCCTCTTCTCATAACTGTCTCCTTCTGATGTCTGGCTCCCACCTCTTTCAAAACCTTTTGGTAGATCTTTTTGGCTGTCCAAGGCATTTAAAGCATTCTTCTGTAAAAGAATCACCAATGACCTATACAGAATTTGAGTCTAGCCTCAAATGCCTAATTTCAACTGGTGTGTAAAGGGCCCTTTACTTCACTTACCAGGGGGTTGAGTGGTCTCAAGGCATGGAATCCGCCCCATATGCTGCAGGTCGTGGGTTCAGGCCCCGGTTAAGGCTGGGATTTTTTTCACATGGATTCTAGTAATTTCCCCTAGTCTCTAGGTAGTAAGATCGGACAACAGTGTGTATTGTTTAACACGTAAAAAATCCCTTGGAAGTTGGAAATTGAAAAGCGTAGCCTAGCGGTGCTGCCTGAGTTTTGAGTTCAAAATCTACCTAAAGTATTTCAGGATCGTCAGGGGTTTCAGAGCCCTTGGTGCCATGCAATGTTAAGAAATTTTATATGGCACATATAATCTAGTCACAATTAAAACCTGAAGCTCCCCCTTCAGGGATGCTGGTTAACCTGATGATTTGTTCCGACCACAATGCTCCTCATTGTGTGCTATTAGCTCTTTTCAGACAACTATGGTTGTATCTCACAAATTTTTTTTTGACAATACTTGTTACTATACATAATTAATTAATTCTGCTTCTAACAAGTCTCAATGTATTTTTGGCTTTAAAAAAAGTGTTTATCAATATACATGCTTTGAGTGACTGCCCTTCTCCTGTTTTTTCAGAATGCACTATCAATTCCTCCCCATGTGTATTCCAGGGCGCCATTGTGGGGAAAATAAGAACAGACCCACTACCAGGGCGCCATTGTGGGGAAAATAAGAACAGACCCACTATCTCCGCATCAAGCATGCTGCCAGAGTCAACTGAATAGGGGTTTCTTTTGAAGTTGGAGTGCGTCTGCCTGAGTGGCAAGGAACCAACAGTCTGCATAGAAATAAGTCAGATCTGTAAAAACAGATATGCACGCAACACTCAGGTTCTGGAACAAGTCTAAAGTTCAAAAGTGGATGAACAACCAAAACTTTCTGTCGGAGTTTACACCAGTGAACACTAAGAAAAAATACTAACAATTCTGACAACATATTTGTGTTTTACAAGGTCGGTGGTACATTTGGCTCCGATTAAAGTCATTCACTTGTTATTTTGAATACCATATCTAATGTGGGATTTAAGACAAGCATTAAATTGAGACTAAAATCCAATTGATGATCAAATAATAAAGATCTAATCAGGAAGACAGCAACAAGAATCTAATTTAGACTGAAACACAATTTGAAGAATAAACAAAATTAAAATTTAGAAACAGGCAATAAATATTTTATTAAGGATAAAAAAAAAACAAGAGCATGCAGAAGAATCAAACAATATAAAGAAAACATTCAAACTGTTATACTTGCTAGCCACTTACATCCATCCACCGGAGGACTCTGCCTGTTTGTCTGGTGGCAGCTCCAAATTGATATTTGATGCTTTCATGGTCTGAAATTCAGCAAAGTTAGATTGTGTAATTCCTAAATGAATCTTATAGTGAAAGACAGAAATATGGTCATTGACATGTTATTTATAAACATAATTGTTCAGATTATAACCCAGTTAACAGTTTTTACTGAGCAGCAGGAGTACACAACTACTTTGAGAATAACAATGGAGAAGATCAAGAGAGAAGAGCTACATCATACATGATGCATTTCATGGGACTTTAACAATTAACAAGCAGCCGTCATCTTCTCATAAAAGGTTTCAGAACAGTCATAGCAATGAATGCTGGATGCCATATGGAGATAAGAATAAAAATCAAGATGGAAAATATAATCACTAATAAATAGTGGGCAGCTAGAAAAATTGTCTAAGTGCTTTAGAAAACCTGCATGGCTGTGTGGATGTGAAACATGGACAATTATCAGGTAAGCTGAGAAACAGCTAATGGCACCAGAAACAGGGTTTTTGCCAAGAAAAGAAAGAATTTAAATGACTAAAAGACAAATAAATCTTCCAAGAAACAGATGAAAACCTAAACTGATTAGATAAATTATACATAATCCAGCTGTTCTTGGACGTGTCACAGGGAAAAATGAATTGAATTTTTGGTCAATCCTGGCAAACTTAGGGGAAAAAGAGCAAGACGAAGACAGAATAATTCCTGAATAACTTGACCACACAGCACGGATGAGACAAGAACACTGACCTGAACTTAATCATGTCAGATAGTGAACTAAACCCCTAGGCTTGAGAGTGTGGCATGTGATGAGACTAAATTTATATTATTTCAACTACTGTCACACAAGGAGCTGCAGCAGTGCATGCGATGGTTAAATATTTGCTTCCGGGCCCAAAGATCTAGGGCTCGAATCCACTGACCCTGTTTAATAACTGACTTTGGCTTCCAGGTCAATCCAATTACAAAAGAATGTTTGTTGTTGTTGAAGGAAAGACAGCCAGTGTGATGTTAACATCATCCATCGAATTTAACATCATATGCTCCACAGTCATTATAAGGGTCTTTTACTTAACTACTGACACACATTTTTGCTTAACTGGGGCTGAAAATTTGTGTCTGCAAATCTGAGAGACTAGTATCCCATACTAAATGGACAGAAACACCAGACAAGTTGCAGAAGTACAATAAAGTAATAACTACCCTGGGCAGGTGTTTACAAAGAATGGAGCCAAAAGCCACTGATATTGAAACAGCAGCCATTATCCACAAGCACATTGGACCAGGCAACATCATCATCTATACAAATGGCTCAGTTATTCATAGGATGCGGTCTAGGTATGCATAAAACAGCACAGGTGAATGGAAAGACAGTATAAGAAGAAAATCTGGCATTCAGTTCTACTACTTCTAGCATGATGATGAAGATAGCTTTTTCACAGCTGGCAGAACAAAAAGCAACTTATGCATTGACAGTGAGACTCAATGATCATGCTTAAGAAGATCAAAACTGGCAAACTCTAACTGGAATGTCGTGACAGCATCCATAAGTCTGGCCCTAAGATACTATCTTGGTTGTACTCACTGGGACGTACCAGGGTGAAAGGCAATGAATGAGCCAACAGACTGACTGTGTCTGCAGTGGTTAGTGGAGGAAGAAGTATGTACAGAGCAGACACATGGAACGCACTGTGTTCCAGAAATGCTGAGACAAAATAGTCAGAGATGATAAACTACCCGTTGAAAATGGGGACAAGCATGCAGAGACCCTTTGTGGGGTTACGAAAGAAGATATGCTAATAAACTCCTACAGGCTACACTGAGCACAGATAAACTGAGATGGATGCTGCATTGGAAGATGTGCCATGAGTTGGTCGGAGTAATGTGCGAATATGTCGATACAGGTAACAAGTAAAGTACCCTTTTCCATGCCTTTAGGCGTATAGGGCATAAGGGCTAGACCTATATTTTTATGGACCAAACAGCACAAGATGGGGTATGTGGTCAGCATCGTGCCGGTCGCCTACCAGGACTGCAACCGGTACCCACTCAAGGCTGGGTCGACCTCGGAGTCAAGGCCATTTTGGAAAAAAGTCCGGCTCCACCAGGGAGCGAACCCACGGCCTTCCGATCCGCACGCGAGGTCTAGCGGCTACGCCACGGCGACTCCTACTGTTAAGAAGTAACAAACAAAAATCAGATAATATATTAAGATCAATTGTTACCTCGGCAAGAAGTTCTGATGCATAATGGTTATTCATGGTCTTATATCGGGCTATCTCCAAATCTGTGTGGATTAAATAATACAGAAAAGAAAAGAATGTTTTCACCCCATATACAAGATATATTAAGAACATATCATAAGAGATTAAAACAGTCAGAACTAAAATTCTAGGAGGAAAGACAAAGATAATGGAGTAAATCAAGCAAATTATAACCCAATATTCCAAGGGGTGAATTCATGCACATATTTAGATGGCAATTTAGACAAATTATGGGAACAGATACAGAACAGAACAGAACTAAAAAAAAAATCTGAGTTAGATATGTGGCGTTAGGATAAATCACTGGGAAAATCTGTACAGGCAGAAAGTGGATTTTCTAGAACTCACATGGTAAAGGAGATAGATACCTAAAAGAGAAATGTAGACAAGATGCATATTATGGGAAGTAGCTGTGAAGTAGCTGTAAAAAAGCTGCAGGAGACAGCATAGAATAAGAGGATTTGATGTTAACAGAGGACTTATACACCACAGGGAAATAAAAAGAAATATGAATAAACAAACTAATGAACACATTTTTGAAACAGTTAAAAATTGGCACACAGGTCCATCTAACACTCTACCCTTTGTATTTCACTCCCCTCATTAATACATCTTCTAACAGATTATCTCAAGAAGAAAAAAAAAAGTAAATTGATCACAATGAAGATAAAGAAAAAGAAGCAAAAGCAGAAGTATAACGAAAAAGTAGGAAGAAACATAGGTGGAAGAGGATGATCAGGAGAAGAAGACAGTGTCAAATAATTACATACAGAATCAGTTAACTGTTTATGCTCCCATCATACTCTTTTTGCTGTAGTAAACTGTTATTTATTGTTGCCCAAACAATTACTTAAATGGACATCACCATCACAGTTACTTTCAGTAACTTCTTTTATTTAAATAATGTGGACCCAGACAATGCATTGCATGTATTGACTTAGGAACAATGATATCAGGAGGTGAGTTGGCACAGATCCAGTACTGAGTTTTATCAGTAGACAAGAGATCAAATGGTTTGGCCGTGTAACAATATTGACAACAGACAGGTCATCACAGAGATCAATGCTATACAGACCCAGAGGTAACAGACCAGAGGTCGACTTCACAGAATATGGACTACAGAAATATCTGAGACACTGAAATGTACTAAATTTAAAGCGAATAGAAGGGGCGCTAAAGAGTTCTTTTCCTGCCTTGCTGCAAGGCATCTGTTTGTCTAGTTGCCAGAAGTTCACTGTAGTCAGGTGACTCACCAGGGTAACTTCAAATTTACTTTAAATTCAGTCTGCTTACAAAGGAGAGTGGTTGTTGATTTTAATTGTTAAAGCTTTGGCCATTCTCAGCAGTCAATTAAAAATTAAAATTAACAACCCCTTCTCTATAAGCAGACGGAGTTTACAGTAAATTCGAAGTTACCCTGTTAAGTGACAACAGTAAACTTTTGGCGGCTAGACAAAAAATGATGCTTTGAAAGAAAACATTTACATTGCAGTCAGATTTATTCAGTTTGTTTTTGTTTGTTTTATTTTATGTTGATGTAACTCTGTAGTAACAGTGAAATATGCCTGGCAATAAACTGTGTATCAACTATTTCCACCCTACCACCCCAAGAAAACACAAAAATCTCCATACCTTCATCAGAAATATCTTCTCTGGTGTCATAACTACTGGGAACTCTCTGCTCAGGAATACTTCCGTCCACATTATCATCGCTGTCAACACTTTGCTGGTCACTTTTACGGCTTGTTATGCTACTTCGTCTCAAAGAACTGTTATCACTCACTGACCTCCTCAAAGAAGATTTAGTCCTTTCAACATCTTGATTTTTAGCACTGAAGAGAGGAGTGAAACCATTACTTCTAGACTGAAAATCTGTAGAAGCAGCTGCAGCAGCTCCAATATCACTAGCGCTAGCTGACGCTGAAGGCCCTCCATTTTTACATCTGTACTTCAGGATTGAGGAATACTTTTCCAATTCTATTTTGCGCTTTTCAAAAGGAATATTTTTGCTGGTGATGCTATCGTTTGAATGTTTGTCCAGAAGAGAACTGCGATTTTTGTTCAACAGGTGTGCATCCTGGCCTACAGACTCATGTCCTTCTCCAGAGTCACTTGATTCTACATCACTGTCAGAGAGATCCTGAGGTAAGGTGATTGTGGTCAGAGGTGTTTTCTGAAGCTTTCTCAAGGAAATGTACTCAATTAATGAGGAGAGCAAGATTGAGGCTTTATCTACACAAGATGCTGAATGCAGTCTTGACCAAGTCACAACAGAAACAAGGCACCGATCCACCTCTGTGGAGAGATAAGGAAAACATCTTTATTAACAAAATAAACAAAATAATATGGGTAGAGATTTGTTGTTAGGCTGTGAGCACAAATTAGGAAAACCATCCCAATTAGAAAATAAAAACAAAAAGAAAAGAAAGCAATAAACACTGCATTGCATATGGAGGAATTTTCTACTGTTTAGCCACATAAGAATAATATTTTGGGCAACCAATGATTTTCACATCGGAATGATTCACACACAAAAAAAAAAAAAATGAAAGCCTCTTTGTTGCAATATTTTCATTATGACAGACTGCAGAAAAAAACTACAGAATAGGACAGGTGACTATATTTACCACATGTAGACCAACAGAAGATCTCGTTACCAGCCAAACAACGGATGATCAACAGCATTTTCATACCTACGTTATGTTATCAGTGCCAAACGTGGACAATGAACAAATCACATATGCAAAAAATAACTACGTGTGAAATGCGATGTCTCCGAAGAGTCACCAACAATACACGTAGAGACAGAGTAACAAATGTCAGCATTAGAGACAAAGTTGGAACAAGAGCATGCATGGAACATATTGAAAGACAGAGAATGAAGTGGTTTGGCCATTTAGTAAGAATGCAACCGGATCAGATTGTTTATAAGGCCTTTTACAGTAGAATATCAGGAAGAAAGGCCAGAGGAAGACCCAGGAAAAAATGGATAGATGGAGTAGCTGAATACGGCCAAAAGATCCAGAAAACTGTCACTCAAATCACGCGAGAGGCACAAAACAAATATTTTAAACCACGAAACTGGGCTGCAACCCGGTAAAAGTGAAGAAGACAATAGATAGATAGACCAACAGAAAACAATGAAGTAGGTACTGTGAAGAACATTAAGCAACGATGGAGTCAGTCAGCACTTGATAAGTTACACATATGCTTTTATATAACAGTAAATGTACTGCTATGCTAGGGAAATCCAGGTCAATAGCCATGGTTGGCAGCTAGGTCTAGACACAAAGCTTTGGTAGGCAGACATAGCAATGTTCTTCTGGTCTAGTAGCTTCTGTAGCATGCAATGTTTGAAACATATTGGTGTTAGCTTTCCTCTTGAATTAACAAAGCAAGTGGAGAGACGCTCAGGTTTTGTGCTATGGAGAGGGGGAACTTCATCCCTGGCCTTAACTCACATCACCATCGGCTGTGATTCCCATGTCTCTCTAGAGCACAATGGAACACTATTACCTGGATCCCTGTGTGGGTTCCAGGGCCCATTCGTAAGGAAAGCAAGAACAGACCCACTGCCTCCCCAACAAGCATGTTGTAGGAGTTGACTAATTTGAGGCTTTCTTCAAAGTCGGAGTGCATCTGCCGGAGAGGCAAGGAACAACCAACTGCACACAAATAAGCCAGTAAAAGGGATGCACACACAAAATTTAGGCCCTGGCACAAAGCCAAAGTCCAAATGGATGAACAACAAGGATTTTCCACGGAAGCTTACAGCCGGTGAACAAAGAAGAACTACCATCTGAAAAGACTGAAAAGTGCCAAGAAATGTACGGTAAAAACAAATACAGGAAAGTGCTATAAACAGACTGGAATAGGACAAGGATGTGCCCTTTCTAACAAGGTATTCCTCACTTTCATAGACCAAATGAGTAAAGTTGTCCAGATACGAGCTGAAAAAATTTATTTAAAAAAATAAAAGTTTTTTTAAAGAGACACAAAAAAAAAAAATAGGACAAGACCACAAACCTTGTATTGGCTGTATGAGATAAAATTCACATGTCTGTAATGTCTCATTCATCTGTATCAGCCAACATACTCCATTGTCTTCTCTGTGCCAAAATCTGTTGAGGTTTTATTATATGGTGAGTGTATTGTATTATATGGTGAGTGAAGGTTTCAAAATGTTCACACTTCTTATATATAATGATGGATATCCATTTCATGTCTGGTTATTCAAAGCAGTGAAATGAAATCTGCTGATAAGCCTATTCTTGTGTAATTTATGCAATGTAATGGTTTCCTCTTGATGTCTAGATCATAATCATTATCACAGTAAGTCCTTTGCAGAACAGCTTTCTCAATAGAGCATACTGGAAATGCATTCAGTCTCTTGTCAACTTTGGCACCACATGAGCTTTCATCCTTAGTGTCTCGTGCTGACTGACCTGACGCGATACTCTCCATTACTGTTCTTTCAAAACTATTATGGCATATAAAAATCGCATACTATCGAGGAATGATTGTATGTATGAACCAGTTCCCCTCCATGTTGAGGTTCTGAAAATATCAGTATTTTATCCTCTTTTTGGTTAAAAGAACATAAGCAGGTAGAGAAAATAGAAAGAAGAACAATTTGTATAGAAAGTTTACACTATGAGATATAAAATAATGATGACATAAACCACCAACACTCAAGTTTAGTCCAGTTGAGAACCAATTAAGCACTCTGGACAATGTGACGCAAATAACCCAGACCACAAATATAGGCGGAGACTGTTAGCAGCCTAGGCTAGCTAGCAGCAGTCTGAACGTGGTCGAGCTTTTATTTTTTTTCTCAAAAGGACTTGGACTTGGACTCTGGACAATCCAATCAGCACTCCATCCCCATCTTCAGCAGCCAGCACCTCAGTCCAACTTCCAACAGTACCAGTAGCAGTCTGACTGTACCTCCATCTTGTCTTTCTCCTGAGTGTTAAGATTAGCCAGATGCACGTGTCACTTCCGCTGCACGATTCTCTGCATATCATGATGATCTGTTTGTGCTAAACCAACTAACATGACCAGGAAAAAACTTCACATTGAAAAAAAATAGTACAATATAAATGTACTATATTCACTATTAAATTATCTCCATGTAGGTTCTCGGGCCCTATTGTGGGAAAAACAATAGACCCACTATCTCCCCAACAAGCATGTCATAAGAGTCAACTAACTGACGACTTCTTTCGAAGTCAGAGGGCATCTACCTGAGAGGCAAGAAACCAGCAGTCTGCATACAAATAAGTCAGATTTGTAAAACTGATATGAACGCAACACTCAGGTTCTGGAATAAGTCTGAAGTCCAGAGGTGGATGACCAACCAGAACTTTCCGCCGAAGTTTACAGCCGGTGAACGTGAAGAATAAGAAGACTACTAAATTAAAAATATTTCTGCAAAACCACTGTTTCCCAAGAGTAAAGTAAGGTAAAATTTCATTAATCTGAAGACTCCAAAACATTTATGTTAATTAAAAATAAATTTAAATGAACACCTCTTATATTCTAGAGATACTGTTGGCACAACATTCTCAGTGAACCAAGGGTCCCTACTCTGCAAACCAAATCTGGGCTTGGAATAACACAATCGTTCCTCCTTGACACAGTCCACCTGTGGCATATCAAAAAAAAAAAAAAAACATTAAAATACTTGTTACAGCGTGTGAGCTCAATTCAGTGAATGTGGATGTACAAAGGATAAAGATTATCAATCACATAAAATATGCTGCAACAGACTAACACAGAGATGGATGAATCTAAATTCTTCTTTCTTCTTGTGCTGATATTTGCTTTGTGCCATTCAGTTCAACATATGGTTTGTAGTTGATGTCATTAAATGATAAGCCATTACGCATCAGTCTGTAAGACTGGTAACCTAACTTACCTGTAATCGGCACAAAATTCAAACTTGGGCTCGCCCGGACAGATATAGTCCCTTATATCTATATATATAGGCCTTTATTGGACAACATTATTATGTCTACATTTTCTGGTTGCTTTAACTAAACTCCACTTTTAAATGTATATATCTTTGATATATATTAGAGGAGTTATTTGAGGTTTCTTAGAAACCGATGCACTCCTTGCCCATGTATACTAGGGACTTCTTTTTTTACCAACGCCTGAAGTGCGTAAGTGACGCCATTCTTTCTTGCCGGTTCCAAGCGTCCAGACGTGTCAATCTATGCCTGTATAATTTCACTTTCACAAGGCGATCTGGAATGTCTCAGTTTTTACATATGCTTGGGTAAGTTAATTATAGTTTACGAGTACCTAAAATGATGTCTGTAAAGTAGTCACTGCTGTAGAGAGATCAGTTCTTGATCGCTAGAGAAGCAGATTCGAACGTAGACCTTCCCCTGTACCGACTAAATAGCCTAAGCCCTCCATAACCCACCCATACTGGTAAAACTAATACCCTTACAAGTGTGTACGTTTTAAACTAACTGTGGAAGTTTGTGCATACAAAATGGGGACAGAATTAGGTCAGGACTTTGACGGCCAGTATGTGGAGTGTGTTTGACCCAGATCAATGAATGATAAGACGGGCGTTGGGAGTCTGAGGAATAAATGTACTGACAGTAAATATTGGTGTCTGTGTGCAGAGGGGAGGGGAGAGAGAGAGAGTGATATATGTGTTAGAACACTCTATCTATCTCCACTGTATATCTGACTTGCCTCCTCTTGCACTAAACAGACAGATGAATATGGGAGACTTGGGTCTCCTGGTCTGGAGAGGCATTCTGAGGAATGAAACAGGAGAGCAGGGTGGAATAAGCAGATGGGGGTTGATGACTGATGCTTGTTCTGTCTTTCCTGTCAAGATGTTACCCTCTTGGTGATGACTAATTCAGAGTTATTTTCTTGACAGGATAAATCCTTTGTGAGGAGCTGGCAGAAGTTTCACAGTCCAACCAACACCCACCAACCATGAATAAACCATAAACCATAACCCATCTACCCACCAGCTAACACCTGTGAAGGTTCCTGACATCATCAATATGTGGGAGCTTAAAACTCAAACAGCCTACCAGTGCTAGAGCTTAGTGTGGCTCAAAGACATTGTGTGTCCTAAGTACCAGTACAGTGCTGTGTCCTCTATGGTGAGGTACTCTCTTACTACTTGATCCAGTGGAGCAGAATTCCCAGAGTCAAAGACAGTCGAATCATCCGGAGCTGAGGGAGGCATCATAGACAGAAAGAAGAGAAGCTAAGTTTGATGCCTGATTTGCTTTGTGCCTCACAGCTCCTATGTTTCCCAATGATGACAAGATGTCATCTCCAGGACCTTCTGTCTGTAGTATCTTTGTGATTTGGACATGATATCCTGAGATCTAGCCTAGGAGATCTGGCATTTGTCTCACTTTTATATATCTATTTTATATTGATTACATGCATTCATTTTCATGGCTGACTTAGGTGTCTCTATTTCACCTTTTTAAGTGTTTAGCAGTTGTGTATGTATGTATCTTCATTATATGTGTTAACATGGTTATGATAATGAACTATCATAACCTGGGGGCTTTCTTTAGTAAGTAGTGGGGGTGTCCAGCCAAGTGTGCCTAGAAATATTGTATTCATATACTGACATATTTTGTAGTGCCAATACTTGAGTTGCCCTACTCCAGAGATAAGTTGAGCGTATATTGGCCACGGGGAATCCCTTAGACCAATACGAGCCAAACGACTCAACATAATTATCTCTGAGTGCTGTTGGTTCTGAAGGAGAAATCCTTACATTAGGCACGCGACAGGAGTGATATGTGACAGTTGAGCCAGGGTATGCTTAGTTGCTTGGTATGCTGTGATACTGTAGATGTTTTAGGCTGCCATGACTCTGTCTCTCTTTGCCTCTTTAGTTCATACCCAAATCTGACTCTGGTAACCTAAAGTTGAACTAAGGATTGCACTTATAATTTGTCTTTTTATCTCCATCAACAAAACCCTTTGTTTTCTTGGTCAAAGGGAAGGAACACAATTATTTATTCGCTCCATTTGTATTTAGGATTACTTCCATCTATAAAAAAAGAAATCATGCTAAATATGAAACACCCATGTTTTTAGTGACTTTAGAGAGCTGCAATGATGCAGTAGCTAGCAAACTTGCCAGTCTGCTCAGTGGTCATAGGTTTCATCACTGGATTAAAAAAAACAAAAAAACTGACCAAGACAGCATATTTTGTCTGCTTCTTCTTCTCTTCCTCTAGTTTCTTTTGATAAGAGTTTCAGCAAGTTTTAATGATGCATTTCTGTTTAACTCCATACATTCATAGTTTTCCTACCCAGAAGCCCATTGAAGGTAAGATGCCCCAATTAAACGTATCTTTACTACACCTTATGCCTCTGATGCCAAACCCCCTGGGACTAAAAGAGTGAATGAAATGCTGAAAATTGTCAATTTGTTATTAAAAAAGGGGATACCCTGTTTAAAAAAAAAAAAAAAAAAAAAAAAGACATCCTAAACAGAGAGCCAAGCAAACTACCAGGAGAAATGCATGCTAGACTCTTCACTACAGCTCCCATAGGTTTAGATGCTGAGGTAATAGTAACAAACTTCTTTAGTTCAGTGAAGTAAAGAGACAAGAAAAAAGGTGACTTCTTGTGTTTTCTTCTCTGGGTAGTCAGACAGGACGCCCGTGTGCATTGTTGCGCACACAAAAAAATCCATTGGCAGTTGGAAATCGAAAAGACTAGCCTTAAGGCTCTGTTTGGGCAAAATTTGGAGTTTAAAATCTACCTAAAGCATTTCAGGATCCTCGCCGGTGCTACAAAGCCTGTTTACTGTGCTGAGCTTCTTCGGAGTTAGAAGAAAAACGGAGCACTTAGGGGTTACAATCATGTGCCATGATGTTGATCCATTGTTCAAAATCTCAAAATCTGTGTTTTCTGTTAAAAGGGCATCTGGCACATTGTGTTATGGATTACTGCTAGGCTGCAATATCTGTGTGTTTTGGCCTATCACATCTTATTTCAGCAATACCCTAATGTTTTGTCTGTGTGACGTGCTTGCTAAGGGGCAGTGATTCTAACCTTTCCCTCCCACTTTCCATGACTTCAGAGTCTCAGGTTTGCCCAATTCTGCACTTAAGAACTCTTCTTCTCACCTCAGATGACACACTCTGGAACTGATTATAAACTAATTCTTTCGCCACTGATGTGGTAGTTTCATTTTCTTTAGTATATCTGTAAAAGATATTTCATTACCACCGTTATCTCACCTTTGCCATCAAGCATTATGATAAGGAGGAGTTGGTTGTCGTTCCAGCACTCGATTGGTGCCACTAGTCATTGTCATTTTTTGTGAATTTATGTTTTCAATGTTGTTATTCCTTCTTTATCATGGGCACCCTCTTGCTCACACGTCAGGTTTTCTGTGGTCCAAAGCCCAATTTAACCCCCCCCCCCCCCCCCTCCTTCCAAGGGAAAGTGATCATGAAACCTGACAACAACCACATACTTGACCTGAACAGGCATGGACGGTATGCCCCGGACCATGACCGGCACATCAAGTGATGCCAGACTGTGGGTGTTGGAGGCAGAGATCACACCAGGCTTCCACTCACAGGACTGGCTGATGTTCTTTAGCACATGCAGTAATGCCTGTAAGACACAATAACACAGAGGTGAAAAATATGCTTTCTCATGCCAATCTGGTAAAAATGTAGGCACTGTTTTGAAGCAGAGGGTCTTTTTCTTCTTCTACATAGCAGCAGAAAATAACAAAAGAAAGAAAGAAAGAAAGAGCATGATTAGTGATTAATAAGGACTATCATAATTGCACTCAGGAAAGATCCGTGCTCCAGCACCCTGCTCAACAGTTCCACAAGCATAATACAAATGATCATGCTTGTTGTCTTGTATAAAAAAAAAAAAGAAATGCAAAGAAAGGAAAAGAACTATAAAATAAGAAAAGGGAATAATTAAAATCCATCATAATTGTTAGCCACAAATTATTTTGTTCTAAAAGTCATTAAAAATAATTTACAGGACATTGCAGAACCAACCCCAGCCTTTTTTAGTTGTGGTTTTTCTAGGGTAATTGTACGTTCAGTAGTTTGCCACTGTTTCTTGCACAGTCAACTCTCGGTACTACTGTCAAAACTAATGCAAAACAAATCGTCCGCAGCTGGGATCGAACCCGGCACCCCAGCATTACGAAGCTCGTTCGTCGTTAATGTGATGTAGGTCACTAATGTGATGTAGGTAGAAAAGGAGCGAGTGGAAAGGACGGGTGGGGGTGGGGTGTCTTGAAGATGCAACATGGCAAATACAGCTGGCACAAACTGTAAGGGTTAGGATTTGTATTTCTGCCCTGATATTTAAAAAAAATACATCCATCTCTTTCTGAGGATTTGAATCTGAGTCTCCAACATTTGAGCCAAGCATTCAACTATTCTGCCAGCTGCTCCTCACTACACAATCAACTGAACAGCATCTAAAAAACTATCCAATGTTTACTGGTATATATCAATACCTCACACTTCATAAGTGTATGCTAGCATTTACTACATTTATACTTTTTAACCTCTTCTATCTAATAGTTTGTAAGCTGTGTGTCCGTTGCTGGACGTTGCAGAACCAATCCTAGCATTTTTTTTGACAAATGTTTTTCTAGGCAAATTTACGCTCGGCAGTTTGCAAGTGCTTCCTGAAGGGTAGGCTCTCGATACCACTGTTGAAACAAATGCAAGGTGGTCTGCTGCCTAATCAACTGCAGCTGGGATTGAACCTGGCACCCCGGCATAACGAAGTGTGTTCGCAAAGCCTAAGCTACAGACATTGACTTTTTGTTAGACATCTCTGACAAGTCTCAGCCTGGGATTTTCACTTGTGGAACTAACAATCAATCACATATTTATCCCTGATGCAGCAAAGAGGTGTATGCTTCTCAACATGGTTAATCCTGAGCAGTAGCAGAACACTGTCATTCAAGAATCACAAAATGAACACTTAATAATTTTCACAATTGTCTGGAAAGAAAAAGTAATGATGTAGGGAATTGCCCATCCCAACCTTGCAGAATAAATGATGGCCTAACACTTCAAACCCTCAAAAGCAGTGCGTGCAATAAAACTACTTTTACCTACCCAACATGTGTGTGTGCGTATAAAACTGCAGATAAGGAAAAGGAATAGCACAAAGGCAGCATTTTATGAAGTGAAGTATATTCTATACAATCTTTCTTTGTCTCAAGAGGTCTTTAAATCCTATCCTGACAGTTGGATGATTAGCTACAATTTATCTGAAAGCTGTGGATATGTAGTTTTATAGAAGAATAATGAGAATACCCTGGACAGATAAAAATAGTAATGAAGATATCTTGAAAACGAACTGACTCAGGTAAAGAACTAATGCCCAAAATCAGAGGGAGACAATCTACATTTGTTGGTCATGAGAAGGAGAAAAGTGGAGGATATTATTATGGTGGGAAAATTGAAAGGGGAAAAGAGAGATGATGCTGGACAACCTGACATCATGACACAAAAGATTCCCTGTGTCAGATTTGATTACAAGTACACAAAACCGAAGGTTGTGGATAGACATGACTACCAGAAGAAGAAGAAAGACAAATTGTCCATACCTTCATGTGTACTGAACATATGGTGCTAATATCTGAATTGAAGACATAACCACCACACCAGCAGGCAAGTCTGCCAGCCACTGTGTGTGTGTATGTGCGCTCATGCGTATAAATGTACAAAAAATACGCTTTTCCTGCCAGTGATGCATTTTTGAATATAGTGCTAGACCAATATTTTCACAGACCAATCAACACTCAATGGATGTTATGGTCAGCATCATCACAGCCACATTTACTTCCCATCTTATTTCCCGGTACCCATTTTAAGCTGGGCCAAAGTAAATAAAATAACTCAAGTGTCTGCCCCAGTTCAGGTTCAAAAGCAAGACAGTTTCTGCTGGCAGGCTGATGTTTAAAGGGCATCAAAGAATCAAGTATCTGCCCCAACTCAGGTTCAAAAGCAAGACAGTTTATGCTGGCAGGCTGATGTTTATAGGGCATCAAAGAATCAAGTATCTGCCCCAGTTCAGGTTCAAAAGCAAGACAGTTTCTGCTGGCAGGCTGATGTTTATAGGGCATCAAAGAATCAAGTGGTTTTGGTCATCTGGGCAGGCTGGAACAAGATCGGCCAGCAGCTAGAGCATACTGCAGGAAAACAGCAGGTTATAAAGCTGACCAAGAAAGAGATGTGCGAAAGGAGTTTGAGAGACAAAAAAAAAAATGAAAAATGACATTAACACAAGCCATGCAACTAGGAAAAGACAGGGAAATACATCCAACTCCTCTCTGTGATGCTTTGTGGCATATACAGTAGGACAAAAGAAGAAGGCAAGCAATATGCTATCACAGCGGCTCCTGTGTGTATATAAAACATGCAAAAATTATTTTTAACAAAATACATACTGCATTTACAAAAATCATGAATGCATGAATACGTAAGAATACCTGTGCAGATGACTGGACTTGGTTAAAGACTGCATACACTTTGATAGATGGCGCATTCAGGTTGTGTGGAAATGTCAGAAAGTTAAACCAAATGCGATGACCATGGGAATAACTGTCTATCTTCCACCCTTTCTGGCAAGAAATGGGAAATGGCTGAAATAGAAAAGACTATTTTTATCACTCTTGATCACCACTATCATCAATTTCCACTTTTCCTCTGGAGCATCACGGGGAGGAAGAGTTAGTGATCCATTTCTCAATAAACGGCTCTGGCTATTGTCATTCCATGTGGATGCAGAATGTCTTAAACGCCACTAACCTATCTTTTCCTTAGGTGCCTTCTTGCTTTCACTTAGACCTTTTTAAGTGTAGTATCTTTGTTAATAGTTGTTGTGGCTGCATTTTAACGAGATGGCTGAACCAAGTGGTCTTCTGCTTCTCAATCAATCTGGGGCATGATGTTACTCCCAGTCTGTCTGGTCCCATAGTATCATTTCTCACATGTTATTTCCCGGTACCCATTTTAAACGGGGCTGACCAGGCAGCCAAAGTGTAAATAATGTAAAAAAAAAAAAATATTTGGATGGTTAATTTGGCAGCTTTCCTTAAGCGTCCCTCACACACCCAGAATGGGTATATACAGGAAGGTAGCACTGCTTGGGGCATGCCACTTATAAAAATTGTGTAAGTTCATAGGGTATTTGGTTTCTTTCCCTGTTGTATTCACTTTGTAAGAGTTGCCTAATTGGGAGCTTCCTTCGAAGTCAGAGTGCATCTGCCTGAGAGCCAAGGAACCAGCAGTTTGTATACAAATGAGTCAGATCTGTAAAACAGATGCACATGCAACACTCAGGTTCTGGAACAGGACTGCAGTCCAAAAATTGGATAAACAACCAGAACTTTCCGCCAGAGTTTACAGCTGGAGAACTCGAAGAAGAAGAAGAAGAAGAAGAAGAAGAAGAAGAAGAAGAAGAAGAAGAAGAAGAAGAAGAAGAAGAAGTAGAAGACTTCTGGCTCACTTTGGTGTTTAACTTTAAGGCAGCAGTCTCACAGATGAGAAAAAAGGCAGTCAAAACTAATGTTATTAGCTGAGGTTCCATCATCACTGTAGAGGATCACCCTATAATTGCTCTGTTCCTTTGGAAGTGGCTCAACTATGAAAACCTGAAATTTATTTAAAAAGACAGCCAGCTCATCATCTCATAATATATCAAGACCTGTATACATTTTTGTATATATTCTAGCTTTCTTTCATCATTAATTTATTGCATATTATCTTCTATAAAGGAATCATTTAAACTGGCCCTTACCTTCACATTTTTGAACAGATCCAGCATCTCAAGAATACTGAAATGTTCCCTCCTCTGTGAATGAATTCAACCAGAAAAACTATCACTAAAACTCAGAACAATCTTAGAAAGGGATATTCATAAAAGAATTCTTAGTGTCTTAAACTGAAACATGTTAGAATTACACAACAGATTGTTACCGCTTGTAAATCTCTTCACGCCATGCTACTGGTGCCAGGCTTGGACATTATCAAAAACTAGCACATATAAAATCAACAGCTGGGAGGTAAAGATGCTTAAAGAACCCACTGAGTTCTGTTTATCTAAAACTGAGTGAGAAACAATACTGTTAAAAAAATTAGGTTAGTTGCGTATCCTTTTTCGTATCCTTTTTTGGACATTGCAGAACCAACCCTAGCATTTTTTGGCTATTGTGGTTTTTCTTAGCAAATTTACATCCAGTAGTTTGCCATTGCTTTCTACTATTAGAAAAACTGCAGAAAAATTTATTGTGTCAAAAACATTGAGAAGAAGAAGAAGACATAATTTGGACAATTTCTAAGAATGTTGCAATAAAAGTTACTTACATGGGCACTGTCTTTACTTCTATATTTATCCAATTTAGGACAGTGTGAGGTATGAGAGCCTTAAGCACTGAACCTAACAAAACCTGATATGTGAGCAAGAGGGTACCCATGATGAAGAAGGAATGACAACATTAAAAATATAGATTCCCAAAGATTGACGAGCAGTGGCACCCACCGAGCATTAAACCATTAACTCTCCTTGTCATAATGCTCGAATGCAAAAGTGAGATAACGGTGGTGATGAAATATCTTCTACAAACATACTAAAGAAAATGAAACTAACATATCAGTAGCCAAAGAATTAGTTTATAATCAGTTCTAAAGTTTGTCGTCTGAGATAAGAAAAAGAGTTCTTAAGTATAAAATTAAGCAAAATCTGAGTCCCAGAAGTCACGGAAAATGAGCAGATTGGTGAGAATTTATGAGGAAGCAGCAGGGATGTAGTTTTTATGGCAGAATGAATAAAATACCATCAGCAGAGAAAAAACAAAATGAGAATGTCTTGAGAGAAATGAACCCAAAAGAAAACTATGACTCATATCACAATAAGACATTTCACATTCACAGGGCAAATCATGAGAAGGGACAAACTCTGGTAGCAATGGGAAAGCTGAAGAAGATAAGGAGTGGGGGAGATCAAGTGAGAAGATGTTAAAGTCTCATAAATGGTAATCCTGATCATCAGAACCTTAATGAGCATATCAAATGTGAGATTACAAATGGAGGTGTTACATAACATGACAAACATCCCAGCTTATTTTCCTTTTCTTTACTGTCTACAGCAGGGTTCTCAACCTGCCGGTTGCGACCCTTTTTTTGGGTCGAATGACCGTTCACAGGTGTCACCTAAGACCATAGGAAAACACATATTGATCAAAATTATAAAGGAAAATAATTGTCTGGGGCTTGCCATAACATGAGGGAACTGTATTAAATTGTTGCTGCATTAGAAAGATTGAGAGCCACTGGTCTACGTAAAGCATCTCTTTCATTCATACCTTGGTGGATACTGAGCACATGTTGTTAACTCAATATTTTGTGTACATTAACCAACGAATATTCTATGCAATCTTTGTCAATTAAGGTGAGGAACAGATTCATAACAGCTATATAAAGTAAATACCAATGTATGGAACTGAATCATGGACACTCAGCTGATTAGTGAACGACTGTGGAAGTAGCAGTGACGCAGTTTATAGAAAAATGATGAGAACACAGCTGATAGATTAAAAAGAGCAATGAAGATGTTTTTTTAAGGAATTAAACACAAAGAAAACTGACTACCCATTAGAAGGGGCTAAACGACATTCTTTGGTCATTTCATAAACAAGAGAAAACTGTTAGAAGGGAAATGGAGCAATGAAGATGTTTTTAAGGAATTAAACACAAAGAAAACTGACTACTCATTAGGCAACCACATCAGTTTACACAAACCAGCCTCCAGTTTTGTGTGTGTTTTTTGTTGTTGTTTAAATTATCATACAAAGTAATCCTTTTCTGCTACCTGGTTTAGATTAATGCTTCATGACATTTCAAGTATTTGCCTTGTCACATAACTTCCAGGTCTACCTCTGAATAATTTACACTGATGTCTTTCCTTATTTCTTACTTGCTTCTAGGAAACTGCCCATGTTTCAGACAGCTCACCCTACCCTGACATTTGATTACAACATGACATCAGGTCAGTCTGTGTATACCCTCCTCCCCCCCCCCCACCATATTCTGTCTTGTTTTCCTCTTCTAATGTTTGCAGCACTAATCAATATGTATGATATTCTAATGGTTCATCAGGAAACATTCATAGCTAATGCTAGTTAACTGTCCTTTTTTTCTTCTTCAGACCTAGTTAATGTCCAAGCAGAGGATGAATACAGATACAGGAATTATCGATGTCTACATTACACTTCATCTTCATTTCAACCATTCTAGATTGGTGAATAACTACAGACCTTAATTTCCCAACATGAGTTGTTTATGGCGTCTCAGTTTTTGTTTTCGATTTTTCATCATTGGTTTTAACTTTTGTTTCTTGAGCAATGATGGCTATGATGATTTGTTTCTTATTATTTGTAATTAGCCTGGCTTTGGCTGCAGAAGTCTCCATGCTCTGACCTGATCTTGTCTGCTTTAATTTGTGTGAGTGTTTAAAAAAAAAATATATATAGATGTTTGAGTCTAGTTATATGGTATTATACCTTTTTTCACTTGAATAATCACTGCATGCATCATTAGTGAAAATGCTTGGTAATCATCTCTTTTCCCAAAACATATTTACATTTTTCTAAGTATTTGCCAGTTGTAAACTCCAGTGGAAAATTATAGTTGTTTGTCCACATCTAGACTTTGGTCCTGTTCCAGAAATTGAGTTTTGTGTACACATCTGGTTTACATATGTGTCTTATTTATATGCAGACTGTTGGTTCCCTGCCCTTTCAGGCAGATGCAACTTTGTAATAAATGTTATCTAGCAGCATTTGGGGCTTCTGTCCTCAAACTCAATGCCAGGCAGTTGTACTACTCTATATGATGGCAAACATTTGCTTCTAGTTTCATATTCTGTCTTTGTCCACTTTACAGATCATACCATTAGTCACTATGGGTTATGTCTGATGTGCTTTTCTGTTTACCTGAGCCTGTGCTGATGTTGATCCATTTGCTTTTTGATCTTCTTCATATCTGTAACCTATTCCCCAACACAAACAGGCATACAGTGGCAGTTTTGCAAGTTTCATTCACATTAGACTGCCAAATCACCTTAATACTCTGCCTCCCTCTATATAATCAATAATGGTATGGCTCCTGTCATTGTTTCAAAGTAGATGACTTTGTCACCAGTCAGGACAGTATTTGTGTCTGTCTCGTCTGATCCCATCAGCACTGCAAGAGCTCTTTTCAGAGCTAATTGGTGGCGAGCAATGCTAAGCCATTTTAAATGGCGCACCTAACCTAGTAACAATTATAACCAAAAGCTCCCCCTTCAGGGATGTTGATTGAATGTGACGATTTTCTATTTCATTTTGCAAAGCATGCCAAGCCAAGCCATTGTTTCAACATCATCCTTTTGTTTCAAATATCTAAAACTAAGAAATAAAGATGAAGTGAGTGAAACCTACAGAAACAACAACATCTAGAACTTACACCCTGCTATAATTTATATGTTCAAGGTCGGCTATGCAGATAATTTATTTTTAATCATAATTCTAAGTAGTAAATGACCCCAACTCAACCTTGCGGCACACCGTGCATATGGTGCTAACCAAATGATTTTTATAAACTGACTGAAATTTTATGAGGGATGTGGCCATGAACATTTTTTCAAGAATATTTCCTGTATGGGTTGACCTGGGAGTCCAGGTTAAATTAGATAAATTAAAATACCCCTCCGGGTAAATTCAAACTTATCAGGACTGGATTGGCAGGTAGGTTTAATTAGAAAATATGAACTACATAAAATAAGAGACAGGCAAGGACAGTGAAGAGTTTTCAGAGAATTATAAGAACCTGCGTCAGAATGTTGGACAAAATTTATTGTTGTTTTAAAGCCCAACCTGGTTGTTGCCGGGGGGTCCTAATATAACCCAACCTATGGGTTAAACTGGGTTTCTGATACCTGTCCGTGGGTGGTATTATCCGAATGTGTCACCGGGTGTTTATTTCTCAATGTGATGTCCTGGTGGTGTTGAACAGCATCATTATCAGTTATAAAGAAATTGTTTCAATATCAATTTTTTGTAAAAAGGTAGAGGATAGTAAACACACTGTGGTATGGCCAATGCAGCTATAAAGACCAAGTATCCACTGGGATAAGTGGACACCTCTGGGTTTGCTGTTAGCAGGAGCATCATAAAACATGAAAATAAGAAGAACACGAGGTGGGAGAGCTAGTGAGAGGACAAGTTTCTTTCAGGCAACCGTGATGAGAGCGACGTTCTGCAAAGAACCGGCTACATCATCATCATCAGGTACCTTGTCGACCTGTGTGGGAGATCATGCCTCTCCACAATCTGCGATCTCCTGTAGCATGTATCAGTTCGTGTGCCGACAGAGATTATGAATATTTTAAGATTTTTATAGGACATAAGGCTTAAAAAAGTATAATAGACAGGAAGCTGCCATGAAAAACTGCTAGTTTGCCATCAGGCATGAAGCCTGAAGCTGGACAACTAACCCACCTAAACACAAATATATTTACAAAAGGACAGGGTATATATGCATCTCAGTCTGTATTTGTCCATCTCTCACCCACATGCACACATATGATCAATATTATGGTCAGAAAAGAAATGTATTATGGAAAAATATGTAAAGGTCACTAATGAGGAAACAAACATGAGAATTACCTTGCTGAGAACATAAGCATGTCCACTTATCCAGCGTAACAGCGATAAATACTTCAGTGCAAAAATAACAACAATACACAGGAGGGTTGATGTCACGGACAACAGCAACAGATTCATAATTCACTCTTCAGATGTCATCACCATTAATATTCAAAATCCTGTACTGAAAAAAAAAAAAAACATGCATAATCAAAATTATACAAAATACTTTGCAATATGAAGTGGACATTAAGAATACACATCTCTATTTTTAAAATGACACACATGGAATGAAGAAAAAAAAATTAAAGGACCCTTTTCCACATCTTCAGGATATTAGGCATTCAGTGTTAGATCTATATTTTATAGACCAGTTGGTACTTGATGTTGACCACATTACGGCCAGTGCGATGTTGATCACACTCATATTGGACAAGGGAGATATTCTGAAGACCATATATGAACGACTATTGGCAGAAGACATGAGATTAGATGAAATAACATAGGCAAGAATGTGTGAACGAGGAATTATGTGTGGATGCGACAAGGAGGAATGGATGAGAGGAAGAGATTGGCGTGTGTATAATCAGTGTGCTACAAAAACAGCTAGCGTCTACACCTTCCATCATTTGCTGAGGGAGACGGAGCATCTATGGATATGCCTAGTGTGCTATGATGTTGATTCTTAAATCAGTAAATCAGCAGATCTTCTCTAGTTCTGGTTATCTGATAAAATCAGACTAGAGTATAGAGGCGTGAACAGGGACTTATTCCACATATTATATCAAGTAAAAGTAATATTACCAGCTAAAATGTTAAGAGTTAAATTGTAAGAAAATAGAATTTATGGTCACCACCAAGAAGAAAGAAATAACAAAGAGTGAAATACACGCAAATGGCAACATTCTTAAGCAGGTTAATAGATTCAACAGTGCTTTATTATTATCCTACCCTAAACGGGAAATCCACAGGTCACGGGACAGTCTAATATCTCAGGGGATGGTAGACAGGCTGCATGCAGTCGTGGGACCTAGGCTGCATGCATTCGTGGGACCTAAACTGCACTGTCTTGTGGGGAGTAGATGGGTTGCGGTAAGGGCCAGTTCTAGATGTTTTGGGGTCGTTAAAACCATCAGAAATACGAGAAACCCAGTCTTACCACCCTCTAAAATGTTGGACTGTCCTGTAACGTCATCTGGGGTGAATATTAATAAAGAACCGATTTAACTATTTAGGAACGGTCATAATATTTCATGCAAGATGCCTTGCCGAAATTAAAACAAGAGTCGCTATGGCAAAGGTGGCTTTTACCAAGATTCTCACCAATAAGAAAATGACACTTGCAGTGAGAAAAAAAATGTGTTAATGTGTTATGTAGAACCAGCGCTGCTATATGAATGTAAAACGTGGACAATAAATAGGCAGACATGCTAAAAAACACCTCCTCATGGCAGAGATGTGGTTTCTGAGAAGAATGCAAGAATATCATGGAATATCGCGAAGTAGTCATCAAAACAAATGCAATTTATAAACCTATTAGAACAGCGATTCCCAAACTGTGCACCGCAGCACCTTGGGGAACCGCGACCTCTCTACAGGGGCGCCGTGAAATATTTGAAGATACATGAGTTTTATTTTGTTGGTTATCTCTTACATACAAATAGTCATACTTTTACTAAGGTTATGGCGCCAGAGAAAAATGTTAATTAAAAAAAGGTGTCGCAACTAAGAAAGGTTTGGGAAACACTGTATTAGAAGAATCAGACACAAACAGGCAATATTTTCGGGACATGTTATGAGAAGGGATAAACTTGACAACTTGACAATAACTCACAAGATTGACAGAAAGAGAACAAGAGGAATGCAAAGAGATAAATACTACCTGGATGGCCTAGGCAGATGGACGAAGCAAGACAAAAACATTAAAGTGATCAGTGATTCTGGTGATCGTGTAAGTTGAGAAAATATGTCAGTTTAGGTTTACTGGCAGGGTACGATAACCAGTTATTCTTCTAAAATAGAAATAATGTCTAAAATGTCAAAATGACACCTAGAATAGAGGGTACATCCTTAATGACCTATTTAAATTAATAACTTACATTCTCATTAAAAAAAAAAACACACACACATGATCTGAATGTGAAGATAACCATACAATAAATCTTATCAATCACATACAAAACTATTACAGAGAATAAGTAAAATAAGAGTCAGAATTGTGATTATTCAGAAATGAATAAATAACAATGTTGAAATGTACAAACAACATACACAACTCACAAGGACACAAACTTTATACATTTTCAAACCCCCCAAAAAAAGAAACAGCTATAGAAGTAAAAACATACAATTAAAGTCAATAGATTCTTGCATCATCGCCTTTTGAAAGAGGAACAATGCATCATATTCAGAATACTTTACCATTATATGCTGAAGTTTTTCAGTGCTGGAAACACAGAGATTGTTTCTGCAACTTGGCACCTAACAATTTTGAGCATATGCTTTAACATCCTGAACTGCATACAGCTAATAGACAGGCAATCTGGTCTGTTCAAACCTCAACCAATAACAGAGGCAATCTGGTCTGTTCAAACCTCAACCAAGAATAGAGAGGCATTCTGGTCGGTTCAAACCTCAACCAAGAACAGAGAGGCATTCTGGTCGGTTCAAACCTCAACCAATAACAGAGGCAATCTGGTCTGTTCAAACCTCAACCAAGAATAGAGGGGCAATCTGGTCTGTTCAAACCTCAACCAATAACAGAGGCAATCTGGTCTGTTTAAATCTCAACCAAGAATAGAGAGGCATTCTGGTCGGTTCAAACCTCAACCAAGAACAGAGAGGCATTCTGGTCGGTTCAAACCTCAACCAATAACAGAGGCAATCTGGTCTGTTCAAACCTCAACCAAGAATAGAGGGGCAATCTGGTCTGTTCAAACCTCAACCAATAACAGAGGCAATCTGGTCTGTTTAAATCTCAACCAAGAATAGAGAGGCAATCTGGTCTGTTTAAACCTCAACCAATAACAGAGAAGCAGTCTGGTCTGTTCAAACCTCAACCAATAACAGAGAGGCAATTTGGTCTGTTCAAACCTCAACCAATAATAGAGAGGCAATCTGGGATGATCAAACATCAACTGAGACAAAGCATGTGCTGAAGATTGGACTACATAGTAACTTTGATAGACTACCATCCTCCTGAGATAAGTTTTCTGACAGAAGGATCAAAGAAGAAGAAAGAAGTAAACAGCAAGAACACGTAATCATATGTATAAACAAAGTAAAAATGTCAAGGACTCTCCATGAATGGGACACAGAGCATCTGGTGTTAGAACCATTTCTTTACAGTCCAATCAACAGTCATTTAGATAATTACAATTCCAACTTCACAGCAAGTAGGTCACTTCAATGTTGCTCCATTCCTGCACCAATGAAAACCACAGAGAATATTTCACTGTCCCTTGTGAAAAAGATATATATACTGCAGTCTCAGCAAAAGCCAATAGCACACACATTCATTAAATGCATAAGGCGACCATCAAAAGTGTCAACACAAAGTCTGACACTAGAAATACAATTCATCATTAATGGAAGCAGCAGTTACAACAGATCAGTAGTTGCACACACAATTAATTGCATAAGGCACTACCAATTATCTCTTGCAATAGGCCACTCGCCATTCACACTTCAGAGTTAAGTGATAATGTAGTTGTCATTACACCTGTCCCCTTTACTTCTTAGAATCATTTTGGATTCTTTTTTAGGATGGGTCGACATGGCAGCCATGATCAATTTTATTTAAAAAAAAAAAAAAAAAAAAAAAAAAAAAAAAAAAAAAAAAATTAAATAAAAAAAAATCAATCTTGCCTTGTTGCAGATTCATACCCAAGACTTTCAGGCTAACAAATGAGCATCTGGTCATTGCTCCACAAATTGATAACGGCATCTTTCATACATGTGTCAGATATTCATCTGGCCAGACAGATAAGTGATTTCTCTTAGAGATACTTCAGTAAAGTATTCTTTTTTGCATTCACTGGCTGAAAACTCCAGCGCAAAGCTCTGGGTGTTCGTCCACCCCTGGACTTTAGTCTTGTTGTTGAACCTGAGTGTTGCATGCACATACGTTTCACAGATCTGGCTTATTTGTATGCAGACTTATGGTTCCTTGTCTCTTAGGCAGATGTACTCTGACCCTGAAGGATATCATCAATTAGTCGACTCCTACGACATGCTTCTAGGGGAGGCAGTAAATCTATTCTTGTTTTCTCCAAAATGGGGCCCCAGAACCCACATGAGAGGGGGGGGGGGGGGGGGGGCTTCAGTTAAATGATTCTATGTATTCCTGTTCATATTTATGGTACTGTATATTTATGTAATTTGCTGATTAACGCTCTTTAGCCGCAATGTTCACCTGCCGGTTGTTTTTGTTATGTGAAGCTAACTGGTTCTACTTTACAATTTGTTTGTAATTCCCCCCCCCCCCTCCCACATCAACAAGATCAGATGGAAATTGTGTCCCAGAGATAAAAAAGCTAATTTTTGCAACAGAAATTAGTTGCAATTTTCTTCAGAACTTTGTTCAAAACCACTTACCCAATGGCACTGACTTAAGAACAGTAGCAGCAGGAAAAAAATTACATTATATAACAAAATACAATTAATTTATATCACTGGCAGTTAGAAGAGTTTTGAAATCTTACATATAACCAAGTTTAATGTATGATTGTGAATCAGTTATTAAACAAACCTGTTAGGCCTCAGAAATGTTGTTTTTCAGAATACTTAAACAATTTATTTGATAAATCAATGAGTAAAAAATCGTTTGATAGTCTATCACAAACAAAAGCAGGCAATAATTAGTTTTTGAAAAGATTAAAAAAATCTTTATAATCAGGAATAGAAAATTTGAAACCTGCTGTAACAATTAGATGATTTTATGGAAAGAGGTGTTCCATAGCGGTAGAAGAATGAAGAAGACAGAGAGAAGATTCATTGCAGCCATTGCCATAGAGATTTATTCTGACAATAAACTGATACATTCTGCTGGAGGTGGCAACAAGTGCAGTAGTATACTAGCCAGCAAAGATTTTTAATGGTGTTACTGTTACTAATTAATTACTAACTCATGCAATAAC